AGGGATAGGTCCTGGTCCTACTGTCAGGGGCTCCTCAGATAGATCAGGCTTCACAACTGTCTCACACACAGGGAGGGCCAAGTACAGTCCCATGGAGGCTCCACAGCTGTCGGTCTATAGAGTCCAAGAGTTTATCCCACTAATGCTTTTTCCATAGCTATCAGATCTACTGGCAGAAACTGTTCTCTCTCTCTCTCTCTCTCTCTCTCTCTCTCTCTCTCTCTCTCTCTCTCTCTCTCTCTCTGTCTCTCTGTCTCTCTCTCTCTCTCTCTCTCTCTCTCTCTCTCTGTGTGTGTGTGTCTCCATTTCTTTCTTTTTCTAAAGCTAAAGGGGCAGAGAGATATCACAGTGGATAAGGATATGTGCTTAACAAACAGGCATTATAGGACCTGAGTTTGAATTCCCTGGACCCACCCAAAACTGGATGAGTCAGCAGGAATCTGTGAGGCAGACAAGAGGTCCCCTGGAGCTCTTAGACTCAGTGCAAATCAATGGCAAACAGCAAAGAGGTCATGCCTCAAATAAGAAAGAAGGCAAGGACCAATACGTGAGGCTGTCCTCTGATATCCATATGCAAGCCTCAGTACACCTGTACACACACACACACACACACACACACACACACACACACACACACACACACACGCACAGATACTCTCTCTGTCTCTGTCTCATCTGTCTTCTCTCTATATATATTTCTTTCTCTCCATTCCCCCTCCACACACACTCCAATCCTAAGTCCTGCTACTCAAGTTTAGTCAGTTCCAGGCAATCCAGGATACCAACACTCCTTGTAATAGGTTTCAGTAATAAAAGTTTTAAAACCCAACCCCTCTTTCCCACTAGAAAATAGTTTGCACTAGTGGAGAATGCCCATTTTTAAATTGGCTTTGACCACTTTTTTCTCATTAGTTCCTTTCTGGTGATGCCAAAACTCTTCACTTTGCTGATCTAGTCCTTGCTCAGGTTCACTTACATCTCATGGGATACCACATGGTCCTTGCCCAGGCTCACTGTTATATTCTATGGCCTACTGCTGGATTCATGTTGGGCTTCCAGGAACTCTGCTCTCTGGCCTCCCATTTATTTTTCTCATTCTGTCTTTCCCAGGAAGCTAGAACTCTGAAACTTGCAGTTACAGGACTGGGCTGTTCACAGAAATGCGTGTACACAAATTGGTGACAAATTTATTGGAAAGCGGTTCTTTCTCTACTAAACGTAATGACAGTTGGTGAGTCCTGTTGCTTTTTTAAAATCCATTCTAAGAAGTTACCATTTTCAGGAGAATGGGGTTCTTATCCCACCACAGACATTTTAAGCTTGGAAAGAAATTCTTTATAGTCCTAACTTCTTCAAGGGTGGCAGCTTCCAGCTCATTTTTGAACTCTGTGCCTACCAATCCAAGTTCACTTGAGTTTTCTCTGCATTCTCCGTCATAGCTGGGTAGGAACTTGGTAGCTAAAGTGTTAGATGAAATAAGTATGAAGCTAATTTACACTACATACATCATTCAATATGCTCTTCTTAGATGTCTACAAAATGGCTCTACACCAATACTTGATTTTGGCAATACCATGTTCTTTACACAATATTAGTTTTCTTTTACTCTCTCTGTGTTCTCCCCCTCCCTTCCTCTCTCTCTCTCCCTCCTCCCCCATCTTCCTCTCTTCCTTTCTTGTGGCACAGAGTGGAATATGCCTACAGTCATAGGGCTGGTTACTATCTCATCATTACATCTCTTCTAATTTAATAGTTTCCAACACATGATGTTTTGTATAAAAGGTACAAACATATTTTCTTAAAGTGCTGGTAAGAGCTCTCTTTCGATAACATTCTCTAATAATAAATTTGTATCATTTCTTCACTTTGAACTTGAAATCTTTCCTTCCTCCCTCCCTCCTTCCCTCCCTTCCTTCCTTCCTTCCTGTGTTGGGTATTAAACCCAGGGTCTTGCACATAATAAGCAGCTGTACCTATGCCATTAGCTACTTTACTTATTTCTGGACTGCTTTGCTGATGAGAATTCAAGCTTTGAGAGTCAGAATTTGGGTCAGCATTAATAAATAAAACAAAGCAGTATAGATTCTTGGAGTTCAGACAAACTGATACTTCCTAGGTCTCCTCCAAAGCCATACACAGCTATAGTATGGTTGACTTGGAGTCTGTGCCACTAAAGAAAACAACGGGGGTCAAGTGAGATCCTAAGAGCAGGACACAATCCAGAAGGGCTGTCCTTTTGAGAAGGGATACCAGGGTGTGTCTGCTCTCAGCCTCGCCTCCAGCCCCACGAACCAGCCTGGCTGGTAACATGGTGATGGAATGAGGAGACTGGAAGTGGAGGCAGCAGTTTTTTTTTCATCCCGAATGCCCAGTTCCAAATAATCACACAGAAGCTTATATTAATTATAAAGTCTTTGGCCAATAGCTGAGGCTTATCACTAACTGTCTCTTACAACTTAAATTAACCTGTTTCTATTAATCTACATGTTGCCACATGATTCCATGGCTTTACCTGTTCTCTAGCTCAATTTGTTCCTCTGGAAGCTGGCTTGAATCTCTGTCTCTCTCTCTCTGACTCTGCCCTTCTTCTTCTATGTATTTTTAGTTTGACTTTCCTGCTTAGCCTTATTCTGCAGCTTTTTTTATTAACCGATGTGAGTAAAACATATTCACAGCATACAGAAGTATTATCTCACAGCAGGAGATGACACATTTGCTGGTGACATCACTATCTCCAAGGCATTCATGTGTTCAGTAGCCCAAGTGTACTAAGATACAATTAAATTTTCTTTAAGCATAGCTAACAGAGGATCAGAGAGTTTGTTGTGAGATCATATCTCCTGGTAACACCAGAAAACCTACATGACTGCCAAAATGTGAACTGTGCAAGGATGATACCAATGAACATGCCAAACAGGACAGGGAAAAGTCCACGGGACCTCAACACTATACAAAGAACTATAGGAAACTGAGGAAAGCTGGGGGTAGGAGAGGTAGCCCTCCCCAAGAGAGAGCACACTAATTGGTTGTCCAGGGCCAGAAAATGTGCACATAGGTAATACTATATGGACCCAACAGGTTATATTTAACGATATATGTATGTGTGTATATATGTATGTATGTACTAGTACATATATATAGTGTATATATACATATATGTTATAGCAATTAGTGAAAAAAGAGAGCATGAACTTTAATGAGAGTGACTAACAGCTATGAACATCAATTCAGAGATTCAGTCGTTTAGGAGAGATAGAGTGGTGGACATTTTGCAACTTTTGTTTTGTTTTGTTTTTATGAGACAGGGTTTCTCTGTATTGTTTTGGAGGCTGTCAGTCCTGCCCAGCCTCGAACTCACAGAGATCCACCTGCCTCTGCCTCCCGAGTGCTGGGATTAAAGGCGTGTGCCACCACCGCCCGGCTCATTTTGCAACTTTGATGATGCTTGTGAATGCGTGTTTTCTCTGCACTACTGCAGTCGTTTTATTTTCATTTTTAAAATTCCCATTGTGTTTGCTTTGATCTTTAAGAATGTTTCCTGTTAATTCATTTCTGCCATTGTCTTCCTGAAGCACTGCCATATATATTTGGGCGCTCAGAGTGATTTCCTTTACTGGTTTTGTAAGAGTGGCAGACATTCAGCCCACTTCAAGCGCTCTAGTAAGAGGCTCCGAGCTTTGACAGTGTGCATGGCCCCTCAGAGACCAGTCAACGTTGGTGATAGCCTAGGGAAACAATGCGTGAGAGTGAATTCTAGCCTGCTTCTTGGTGTCAAATATTCAACTGACCAAGAGGGTACCCCGCTAGTGGGAACTAGTGCCACAGCAGGTTCCTCTGCTTGTTTATCCAGTGATGGTCTCCTCTGTCCCCTCCTCTCCTCCTTTTTTCTGTAGTACTTGGAATGGAAACTAGAGCACATAGAACATTTTAGGCAAGTACCAGTAACTTGAATCCCCAACCTTTTTGTTTTGTTTTGTTTTGAATTTAGAGACAGAGTTTCACTATGTGGCCCAGGCTGACCTTGAATTTTTGATCTGCCTGCTTTAGTAGCTGGAGTTACAGGCCCGTGCACCAGACCCAGCGAACGATGGCCTGTTTGACTACATTAGGATATTTGACTACAAGGACACAGCTGACTGTGGCATGTGGTGAACTGGACAACGCCAACTTTCCACAGACATACTATTCACTCTTTTGCCCTTCTTGACCTTAGACTTTCTCATAGTCTTCCACGCATGACCAATCAAGACTTCTGACACTCATAAGAGGGCCTGGCAAACGTTCACGTGCATAAGACATGCCACTGCTTGGTAGTAATGGATAGAAAATACAAAAACAGAAAACAGCTGCTGAACACAGTTCACACTCTTAAAATATGTGTGGATGGGAATGCAACAGCAAGAATTGGCCTGAAGTTTAGAAAACACTGTATTTTTTTTCCTGTGTGATGACTCACAAGGTGATTCTATCAAGCAAAACAATGAAGATTCAGGGAAGCGTGTCTCAAATGTGATGAATTTTGACCCTTGCACATGTCATGAAACTCCTATCCCTCTTGTGACCTAGAGCACATCTGTAGCCTCCAAATGTTCTCTACTGCCACCCACTCCCCATTGAGTCTCCACCCTCAGCTATCAGTAACCACTGCTCAGTGTAGACAGCAATGAGTCTCCACCCTCAGCCATCAGTAACCACTGCTCAGTGTAGACAGCAGGATTGTGGAGCATGGGCGTTTTGTGTCTTGCCTCTTTTGTTTAACATAAGCTTTAAGGTTTGTGCATGTGACATATGTACCACTAGCTGGTTACTTCTTAATTAGTGAGTAGTGCCACATAGACCAGAGCAGGTCTATTTTATTCTGGAACTATTGTAGTAGAGGAAAATAGATCTCAGAGTAATGGTTACCTTAGTTACTTTGTGCTATTTGATATGATTTTTGGTGGCATCATGTTTTTATTTTGTGTTACATTTGTTCTTGGTAGTGTAAAGAAATGCAAGTGACATCTTTACATTCGTTTTGTACCCACAAATGTACTCACAACTTGTGAGTTCCATTGGTGTTTTTAATGATTACATGTATATACATACAGTCATGTTATTTTTAAATAAAGGCCATTTGTTTCTCACTTTTAATGTTTACTGCTTCTTTTCTGGCCTTGGAATACTAAGGAAAACTTTGATGGAATGTCTAGTAAAATCATACAAAAAAGGACCTCATTGCCTGTCTAGCTCTTTGGAGAAAGTTTTGCTTGGAAAAAGGAATTGTCATATCCATTGTGTCATAGTCATGGCTAATTGTTTGGCTGAGTGATAATCAATTAATGGAACATGACTGTTAATTCAGAGACAACGCCTTGGAAGATGTAGACAGATATTGGGTATAAATCATAGAGATAACGTTTCCCATATCAGTGTTCTTCATCAGGAAGTCACTTCGGCAGAAGTAGGTGTGATGAATCAATCTGTGGACTCACGTGAACTTGACTCTGCAGCTATCCTTTCATCTGTTGGATGGGATGATGATCAAAGTGACCCTGAGCTCTGGCGGGACCATGTTGTGATGGAGCTAAGCAACATATGCTTTTCCTCTCATTGTTCAGATCTGGTGACCAAGAAGTAAAAATCAATGTATGTGGTTCATTTCACTTTTGACCCTAACACATCATTAATAAGTTACTTTTTGCTTTTGCAATCTTAAATAGACCTCTTGTCTAGAGGTGTTGGTTCTCAAGTGAGGAATGCTCCCACCATAAAACATAGTGAAGTTTTTATTAGATGGGAATTTGAAGCTGTCACGGGCCTCCTAGGGATTGTAATAGTAAATCAATAGGCAGGGAAGTTCTGATACTGACTGAAGTGATTCTGTCAAGGGGAAATTAAGCTTCTTTCATACCATTTACATTAGTACCAGTCTTTCTGTAGTTCATGTATATTCTAGGACATTCCCTGTAATAAAAGTCAACAAAACCTATGACAATGTAACCAATGGTTCACACATACACCACAATGACAAAAGAACCACTAGGGTAGTGGCTCTTAACCTTCCTAATGCCGTGACCCTTTAATACAGTTCCTCATGTTGTGGTGACCCCCATTCATAAAATTATCCTTGTTGCTACTTCATAACTGTAATTTTGCTACTGTTGTGAATCATAAGGTAAATATCTGCATTTTTCAATGGTCTCAGGAGACCACTGTGAAAGAGTCATTTATTCCCCAAAGGTCTCATGAGAACTGCTGTACTAGACAGAGAAGTTTAAGCAACCAACATGATTGCTTAAAACCAAAGGAAATGAGAGGTCAAAAGAAGAAGGGAGTTGTAAATATTAGCTGAAATCATGTGACCCATGACAGAAACGAACACTCACCTGTTTGTATATTTCTGTGTTTTCATATGTGTATAGGTATTAACTAACCATCTTGACATTTTCCCATTCCCAAGCATGACTGTATAAGATAATGTTAATAAGAACTAAACTTACATTTCAATTTTTGAGTTATAGTTTGTCAAAAGAAGAATGTGATTCAGATAGAGAAAAGGAAATACTAATCAAAGCTGAATAAAAAGTTTTTTGTCTTCTTTTGGGAAAGTTTCAGTGTATTTTATAGTTGTATACCTGACATTTAAACCAAATATAACCCCCCCCACATGATCTCCATGACTTGGGTGACCCATGAATATCTGAGGTTCCAGTGATGATGGTGTACCAGAAACCAAGGCCTTAAATCAAACCAATTGCTCATTACAATGAACATTTTCAAGTAAAGCTGATTGGACAAAAGGGTATGCTGTTTAACACACTGAGGCTCCAGTGCCATCAGGACCAAAGAAGAGATTTTGAGAGGTGAAAAAGAAGGAGAAACGAAGAGGGATTTTTTTAATTTTTATTTTTAAATTTAAATTTAAATTAGATTGCTTTACAAGTCAATCCCAGGTCCCTCTCCCTTTCCCTCCCCTCCTCCTATGCACTCCATCCAACCCCTGCAACACCCCCTCCTTTCCCCAGGGAGGGTGAGGCCCTCCATCGGGGTGTTCATAGTCTGTCATTTCATCCAGGGCAGGGCCTAGACCCTCCCCCCAAGCATCCAGGGTGAGAGTGCATCTCTCATTGTGGAATGGCCACCCAAAGTCCATTTGTATACCAGGGATAAATAATGATCTACTACCCAAGGCCCCATATATTGTCTAGGCCTCCTCACTGACACCTACATTCAGGGGGTCTTGATCAGTCCCATGCTGGATTCCCAGCCATCAGTCTGGGATTCAAGAGCTACTCCTTGTCAGGTCAGCTGTCTCTGGGGGTTAAACCAGCCCAGTCTTAACCCCTTTGCTCATCAGTCCTCCCTCTCTGTCACTGGATTCCTTGAGTTCAGCTTAGTGTTTAGCTGTGGGAGTCTGCCTCTGCTTCTATCAGTCATTGGATGAAGGTTCTATTTTCCAGACTCTGGCCATGGGATTGTAGGCTGGCACTCCCCAGATCTATGTCTAAAATCCATGTATGAGAGAGTATATACCATATTTGTCTTTTTGTGACTGGGTTACCTCACTCAGAATGGTTTCTTCTAGTGCCATCCATTTGCCTGCAAATTTCAGGATTCCATTGTTTTTTTTTTCTGCTGAATAGTACTCCATTATGTAAATGTACCACATTTTCTCTATCCACTTTTCAGCAGAGGGGCATCTAGGTTGCTTCCAAGTTCTGTCTATTACAAATAATGCTGGTATGAACATGCAGGAACAGATTTCCTTGTTGTATGAATGTGCATCTTTTGGATATATGCCTAAGAGTGGAATTGCTGGGTCTTGTGGTAGGCTGATTCCCATTTCCTGAGGAACATCCATACTGATTTCCAAAGTGGCTGTATGAATTGGCACTCCCACCAGCAGTGGAGGAGTGTTCCCCTTTCTCCACAACCTCTTCAGCATAAACTGCCATTGGTGTTTTTGGTTTTAGCCGTTCTGACAGGAGTAAGATGGTATCTCAGAGGTGTTTGTTCTGCATTTCCCTGAAGGATAGGGATGTTGAGCGCTTTCTCAAGTGCCTCTCAGCGATTTTAGACTCCACTATTGAGAATTCTCTATGTAGTTCTGTAGCCTACTTTTTAATTGGATCCTATGGTGTTTTGGAGACTTGCTTCTTGAGTTCTTTGTAAATTTTGGAGATCAACCCTCTGTCAGATGTGGGATTAGTGAATATCTTTTCCCATTCTGTGGGCTGTCTTTTTGTCTTGTTGACTGTGTCCTTTGCCTTACAGAAGCTTCTCAGTTTCAGGAGGTCCCATGTATTAATTGTTGACCTCAGTGTCTGTGCTACTGGTGTTATGTTCAGGAAGCAGTCTCCTGTACTAATTCATTCAAGCATACCACCCACTTTCTCTTCTAAGATGTTCAGTGTGGCTGGATTTATGTTGAGGTCTTTGATCCATTTGGACTTAACTTTTGTGCATGGCGATAGACATAGATCTATCTGCATTCTTCTACATGCCAGTATCCAGTTATGCTGGCACCATTTGTTGAAGATGCTTTCTTTTTTCCATTGTATATTTTTATCTTCTTTGTCAAAGTTCATATGTTCATAAATGTATGGTTTCATATCAGCGTATTTAGTTCAATTCCATTGGTCTACCTGTCTATTTTTGTGCCAATACCAAGCTGTTTTCAGGACTACAGCTCTATAATAGAGCTTGAAGTCAGGGACAGTGATGTCTCCTGATGTTGCTTTGTTGAATAAGGTTGTTTTGGCTATCCTGGGTCTTTTTTTCCATATAACGTTGAGAATTGTTCTTTCAAGGTCTGTGAAGAATTGTGCTGGTATTTTAATGGGGATTGCATTGAATCTGTATATTGCTTTTGGCAGGATTGCCATTTTACTACGTTGATCCTACCTATCCAAGAGCATGGGAGATCTTTCCATTTTCTGGTATCTTCTTTAATTTCTTTCTTTAAAGACTAAAAGTTCTTGCAATACAGGTCTTTGTTTTGTTTGTTTCATGTTACTCCAAGGTATTTTATGTTGTTTGTGGCAATTGTAAAGGGTGATGTTTCTCTGATTTCTTTCTCAGCCCTTTTATCATCTGTATATAGTAGGGCTACTGAGTTTCTTGAGTTGATCTTGTATCCTGGCACTTTCCTGAAAGTATTTATCAGTTGTAGGAGTTCCCTGGTAGAGATTTTTGGATCACTTATGTAAACTATCATATCATCTGCAAATAGTGAAAGTTTTATCTCTTCCTTTCCAATTTGTATCCCCTTGATCTCCTTTTGTTGTCATGTTGCTCTAGCTAGAACTTCAAGCACAATATTAAAAAGGCATGGAGAGAGTGGGCAGCCTTGTCTTGTTCATGATTTTAATGGAATTGCGTTGAGTTTCTCTCCATTTAATTTGATGTTGGCTGTTGGTTTGCTATATATATATATTTTATTATGTTTAGTTACATTCCTGTTATCTTTTATCTCCCCAAAACCTTTATCATGAAGGGATGTTGGGGTTTGTCAAATGCTTTTTCTGCGTCTAGTGAGATGATCATGTGATTTTTGTTTCTCAGCCTGTTTATATGGGGGATTACATTGATGGATTTTCATATGTTGAACCATCCCGGCATCCCTGGGATGAAACCTACTTGATCATGGTGAATGATTGTTTTGATGTGTTCTTGGATCCAATTTGCAAGTATTTTATTGAGTATTTTTGCACCAATGTTCATGAGGGATATTGGTCTGAAGTTCTCTTTCTTAGTTATGTCTTTCGTTTCTGATTTTGTTAACTTGCATGTTCACACTCTGCTGTTTGGTAGGTTTGGACAAAGGTTTGTCTATCTTGTTGATTTTCTCAAAGAACCAACTCTTCATTGCATTGATTCTTTGTATTGTTTTTCTAATTTCTACTTTATTCATTTCAGTCCTCAGTTTGATTATTTCCTGGAGTCTACTCCTCCTGGGTGAATTTGCTTCTTTGTGTTCTAGAGCTTTCGGTTGTGCTGTTAACTCTATAGAGTAACTATTCTCCAGTTTCTTCATGTGGGCACTTAGTGCTATGAACTTCCCTCGTAGCACTGCTTTTAAAGTGTCCCATAGGTTTGGGTATGTTGTGTCTTCATTCTCATTGAATTCTAGGAAGACTTTAATTTCTTTTTTATTTCTTCTTTGACCCAGGAATGGTACAATTGTGCATTATTCAATTTCCATGAGTTTGTAGGGTTTCTGGAATTTGTGTTGTTGTTGAATTCTAATTTTAACTCATGGTGGTCTGATAAGATGCATGGAGTTATTGCAATTTTTTTGTACCTGTTGAGGTTTGATATGTTGCCAACTATGTGGTCGATTTTTGAGAAAGTTCCATGTGGTGCTGAGAAGAAGATATATTCTTTTTTATTTGGATGGTATGTTCTATAGATGTCTGTTAATCCCAATTGGGCCATAACTTCTATTAGACCCTTTGCTTCTTTGTTAAGTTTCTGTCTGGTATTCCTGTCTAGTGGTGAGAGTGGGGTGTTGAGTCTCCCACTATAAGTGTGTGGGGCTTTATATGTGATTTGAGTTTTAGTAATGTTTCTTTTACAAACGTGGATACCTTTGTATTTGGAGCATAGATGTTCAGAATT